GCTCGGACCTCGCTCGGGCAGCTCCAGGGTCCCCGAGCACTCGGGCCCGCGGCCATGGGCGATGTCGAGGAGCCTGGCAGGAGCCCCCAGCCGCGGGGGGCGCCACTGCCAACCTTCCGCTGGAAGCAGATCCGCTCGCACGACTTGCCGGGTGACAAGTGGCTGGTCGTGGAGCGCCGCGTTTACGATATTAGCCGCTGGACGCAGAGGCACCCAGGGGGCAGCCGCCTCATCGGCCACCACGGCGCGGAGGACGCCACGGTAAGAAAACTCACCGCGGCGGGGACCGAGCCTGTTGCTTGCTTTCTGGGGCCTGGGTGGTGGGCGCTGCGCCCCCCGCTCCACCTGCAAGACCTTAGCATCATCCTCTCTCTCCGCCCTGACTTTTGACCTTCCAGCCGGGGAACCAGAGTTGGGATGGACGAGGCTGGGGCCTGATGGGGAGTGAGGAGGCCCTGTCCCTCCAGGGCGGACCCACGTACCCGGCCATTTCCCAGGGCTGGACTGGGGCAGGTCTGTAGGGGAGAAAGGGGCTCCCAGGTGGGTATGTCATGGTGGACACAGGTCCTCTCTGTTGCCGTGATGTTCCCTGTCTCAGTTCTCGCTGCCCTAGAGCAGGTCATCCAAGCTGGGTGCTTGGGGCCGGGCAAGGAGGCACTGTAAGCAGCTGGGGGCTGGGAGATGGAGGCTTTCCCCAGAGCTGCTGGGGGGTGGGGACAGTGAGTCACCTCTCCTGGGCTGGCAGCTGCAGGTGGGAGGACTGTGCTAGCCAGCCAGGGTGGGCCTCGTCCGGAAGCACAGTCACACTAGGAAAAGACTGGCCCTTGGGGACCCCGGCATTTTCTTCCCAACCATGTCTGGACGTGTCTTGGTCAAGAATGGCTGTGGCTTGGCCCAGGGAGACTGGGTGGCAGGGGGCCAGCTATGGGGCAACATGTCGAAATGCGTTTCCTCCTGAGAGCCCCTTTCCCTCTGTCCCCCAAATGGACAGTGGGGGCGGGACCGTGATGTTTTTGACCATTTAGGTTGGCCACACTGGGTACCAGGAAGGTCTTCAAGGGGATGATTTCCTAGTGGGGAACTCTAGGCAGCAAGACAGTGGGCTCCCGTGCCAGCTGCCAGCATCCACATTATCAGGGCTGCCTGCCTCTGCCCACCGCTTCTTCCACGGGTTGGGCAGTCTTTGCAGGACTTGTTGAGCGAAAAAAGTCCTTCTTCCTGACTTCAGCCCTGGAAGTGGAGGGTTTAGGGTCAGAAGCCACTCGGAGGCAAGTCTTAAACTAGAAACAGCAGAAAGCCATGGGCGTGGATGCTGAGGGGCTGGGCGTTGGCGGAGAGAGAAACGCAGCTCCAGAGTTGAAGTGGCCTGTGGGCCAGTGCGTGTGGCAGCCTGTGTGGATGTGGGTGCACGTGCAGGCCTGCATGTGTGTGAAGGGGTTGGGGGAAAGGCGTGTATATGTGGGAACGTCTGTGTGTATGAGGGGAGGTTTCCTATGTGTGCAAACGCCTGCATGTGTCTGTGTGTGTGTGTGTGTGTGTGGTTGTGTGTGTGTATCATAGGCACTCCTCTTTCAGCCCATCTGAACCCTGGCTGTCCTTCTATGGTCTAGGAGTACCCCTTTTGGCTTTTCTCAACCTCTGACCTGCAGGACAAGATGGGGGCTGGTGAGAAGAAGAAACACAGAAAGCATTAAGGAGCTCTGGTGGCGCAGTGCCTAAGGCATTTGACCACTAATCAGAAGGTTGGCGGTTCAAACCCACCAGCCACTCTGCAGAAGGAAAATGGGGCAATCTGTTTCTGTAAAGATTTACCCTCCTTGGAAACCTAATGAGGCTCATTATGAATTGGAACCATCTCGATGGCAGTGAGTTTGGTTTTGGTTAGTTTGGTCCCAGGCCAAGGGGTTCCTGTCTTACATGTTGCATGAAACCCCAAGGCCTCCGACTGATGGTTTTCTGACTGATTTGTGCCCAGTAAGGTCTGCTTTCCAAGTTTCTTTCTTTCTTTCTTTCTTTCTTTTTTAATACCTCTCTGCTGTCTGGGCTGAGTCCTGGCTCTGCCACTGGAGTGACCTTGAACCAGGTCCATCACTCCTCTGAGCCTTGGTTTCCTCATCTGTAAAATGGGGGGAGATGGGCCAGACAGTAAGCTCACTGAGGGCAGGCCAGCGTCTTCCCCAGCCCGTGGCCCCGGGACTGGCACATGGAAGTTGGTCTCAGTAAATGTTGCTGATAGATAAGTGTGGCTGTGCCTTGTAAACTGTCGAGTGCAGTGCAACAACCATGGCACAGACAACCCTTTGCTGGGTGGCCTTGTCTGTAACAGGAAGGAGTGACTTTAGGCCATCTCTTAGCTTCCACAAGACCCAAACACTGGGCTGGAGTTGCCAAAAATACCTGGTCCATTCCGGCCAAAGGGGCTGTGTAGTGGCTTTGTCCATGATGGGCCCACAGGGCAGACCAAGGGTAGAACTGGCTCATCGCGCTGGTAGGTATATGGCTGAGCCCAGACCTCAGATGTCCCATCCGCGGCCCTGGAGCTCAGGTGGGGGTGGGACAGCTTTCTTCCCAGGGCTGTTCTGGCAGCCATCTCTCACCAGCCCCACCCACCCCTCAGCTGTTCTCATGTCCAGGCAATAGAAGTCTTCCAGCCAGGAAATTCCCAGAGTTCCTGTGCCATGAAGTCAGCCTGTGGCCATCCTGGGATACAAAGCCGGCGCCCTGGGGAGAGCACTCTGGGCCTCTGGCCAGGTTTGGCTGAGGGTCATGGGCGGCTTGAGAACAGAGGAGCCAGCCAGGGAGGGGCATGGCCAGGCCGCCACTAGCCACAGCCTCCCAGGGCCGGCATGAGCCCCTGCTACATGCCAGCCTCTGAACTTGGCATTGCCTTTATAGATAATTTCTCTCTTAATCGTCAAGATATGCCTATGGAGGCTGGGGCTGTTCCTTTTACTTCCTCTTTACAGGTGAGAAAACTGGCAGATCTGGGATTTGCACCCACAACCCGTGCTCTTAACCACCATGCTATACTACCACTTGGTTTACTTCATTCATTCATTCTTCTGTTATTTAACCATGAAATCCATCAGCTGACATTCAGTGAGCATCTCTCATTGTGCCAAACTCTGTTCTAAACACTGAGGCTGTAGCTGTGAACTAAAAGTGTGAAGCTCTGGGGCAGGGGCGGGGGTGTGGAGCAAGTTCCTGGCAGAGGGATCAAGGGGAACCAAGCCTCAGAGGTGAGGCTTTGCTTGGAGAGTTCAAGGAAGAGCATGGCAGTGGATGTGGCCAGGAGGGCAGAGAGGAGAGGGGTGGGCAATGAGGCAGAGAGGAGCAGGGGCCCGGGCCTGTAGGGAAAAAGGAGCCCTGCAGGGCTGCAGAAAAGCAAAGGAAACCTCTCTGATAAACATTTACAGGGACTCTTGGGGCAGTTGGGAATCCTGGGTAATTATTTCATGGGGGAGGCAAAACCTCCCAGAAGGGCAGGGGGCTAAGAGAAAGAAGTATGACAGGAACCTGGCTCGCCTGGGGCATCAGGGCTGGCCACTTGAAAGAGGTGGCCACTAACTGGCCTTGAAGGGTGCTTATGACCAGGGTAGAAAGCACAGGTGGAGTGGAAAGCAGACACCCCAGTAGGGGCCATTAGGATTGAGCTCAGTGTTGCCTTTAGAGATGGGACAGGCCTGGCTTCACTCTATGACCTTAGATATTTCCCTTCCTCTCTGGGATTGTTTTCCTGTCACCGTAATGGGGATAAGAATGCTTTCCTCCTGGGGTGAACTATAGGGTGCCTGGTTATTATTGTAGTCACAAAAGCCCTGATTCCAAGGGGTTGTGAACTGGCACTTTCTATAGCTCCTTCAGCGACGTGGAGGGAAAGTCCATTTCCCTGGCCAGAGAGAGGGTGAGGGCATTAAGAGGTGTGGGTAAGATCCAAGATCCAGTATGCCTTCAGGGTCCCCTCCACCTGAACCCTAAGGGGACAGTTGGAGGAGGGTAGCCCCACTCTCTGCCCTAAGACCCTCCATCCAGGCAACTCCTCTGGGCCTGACCTATGGGCAGGTAGAGATGCCGCCAGAGGCTTCATCGTGGTAATTGCAGCTCAGAGTTACTGAGCAGGCATTGCTCTGAGTGTTTTACACACTGTCTAACGACATTCTCGTGAAGTCAGTACTGTTGTTAGCCCATTTTGTGGATGAGGAGACCAAGGCTGTAAATGGGTGAGGTGGTGTGCCCTTCCTGTGGCCTTTGAAGTGAAGGCCTTAGAAGGAAGGGGGGTCTGTGTCTGGATGGAAGTTGGGAAGCCGCAGGACTGGGCAGGGGGATCCGAGGCTCTGGAGTGAGGGTGGGCAGCAGAGGAACCCCCATGGGGTCAACCTGAGTCGCCATCGCCTCCATGGCATTGGGTTTGGTGTTTGGTTTGCTTGGTCTAGGTCCTGTCCTAGAAGAAGTGGTGCTGGCTCTGAACCCAGACGGTCTGCCCTAGGGCCCACACTCTGCCTCCACTCACTGCCCTGACTGCCTCCAGACCCTGGTGCCTAACAGCCACTCCCCATGAAGGGTGACCTCATGGGGCTCCCATGGGTGTTTTCTGCAATACCCCCATCCCACGGGTGCCCTGCTCCCAGTCCCTGCCTCCCTCACCCAGGGAGAAGCCCTGCACTGGTGGGGGTACAGTGTGCCGAGCAGAGCGCTAGCAGCAGCTGAACCCCTGGGCGCCACGCTCTTCTGCTGCAGTAGTGGGAAGAGCCAGAGATAAGTGCTGGGAGGGGACTAAGTGCAGAGGGCCAGCCACTTTGAAGGCATTACTGGGTCAGTGACACCTGTGAAGCCAAGGACGCTAGGTGGAGAGGAACCTAACGGGTATGCCAGCACAGGTACCCTGGGGCTGCTGGGGGACAGGGAGGCTTCCTGGGGGCCACTGCACTGGAGCTGGGCTTGGCTTCGTGGGTAGAGTTAGACGTGCGTGGTCGGAGCTGTGGGCCTCAGTTTCCTTGTCTTTAAAATGAGGATAGTGATAGAGTTTCCCCTACTGACCTCTCAGGAAGGCTGCCAGGAAGAGGACGAGAAGGAGCATCTGGGTGGAGGGCACAAGTCCCTCGTTTATCCTGCCACAGCTAGAGAGAGGGAGGGAGGGACTACCAGGGGGTGTCCTCTGAGGAGGGAGCCGTGGTGGTGCAGTGGTTAAGTGCTTGTCTGCTATAACCAGAAAGTTGGTAGTCTGAACCCACCAGCTGCTCCATGGGAGAAAAATGGGCAGT